GTTATCGCCTGGTTGCGTTGTTCCAATGTTTGTGGGTGCGGATCCGGCGGTGTAGTCCTGATAGGTAGGGTGGTGGGTGTGATAAAAGCGGGTTGCGTGCGGCGCCCTCCTACTGCATGTGCGTCTTTGCGTGCCGCGCCGGCAAAAATTTTAGGAGATATTTTTCAAACTCAAGCCCGGGAAAAGCATGAGGGAAGTTATTTTAAAGATGTTATTCTCGGTGTGCTTCGCTTTCGAAACAAATTCGTGTTGGCCTGCTGGATTACGACGTGCAAAGCCATCCTGCAAGTAACCTGACAGTCTTCACCAGCTGATTCTATGCATTCACTAACTGAACGGACTCCACCAAGAAAATGTGCTGATCCTCAGCGTATCACTGTGCAGGAGCGGGGAATGATGGATTTTGGATTCTTTATATTCTTTCGGAGACTTCTTGAAGGTTGCATGAAATTTATCCATAATCTTTCAATACCTGAAAATTATTCATTGGCACGCTCCATGAACTCTAATCTAGAGTTAGTTGAATTTTTTTTAAAACTATAAATGACGCCTCCTGCTGTGCAATCATGTTTGAAACCATTTACATCTGTTTAATACCAGCATCACCTCTCTTATCTCTTTTGAATTATGAAAATTCATATCAGAATCGTGATTTGCGTTTCCTAACATTTGACTATATTCGTATTCACCATATTATGATGACTGTGGTCTTTTCACAATATTATCCTTTTTATTTCGACTATTTTTTTTTTCCAGTTCATTATAATCAATAATTCTTTTAATATTCGTTTTCTTTTGTTTGCAATTTTGAATCTTAAGCATGAATCAAATAAAACCAATTGTTTTGTCATGATATATCCTGTTTCATTTTTTTTGGTCGCGTGCGATTTCAACTAAGATATCAATTATCTCTCGAATATATTGAATTTATAAAAAATATATTTTTAGGTTTCAATATCATTCTTTTTCCGACGATATATTTTACGGGATGAGATTCGACCTACCTATATCTAATTTTTTGCTATACTTTAAGTCAAGCAAATTTTCGATTCCTTATTAATGGATAATTCCAACCTTGTAACGAAAGATTTTTTAGTATGAAACGCGTTAGGATTTTAGCATCATTTCATAATTAATAAGCGAAATATCCGATTAGAGTTTTGCTTATAATATCGAAAAAAATACATTTCTAATTTTATTGCTTTAAGGGAGTCAGAATAGCATATAAAAATATATACAAAAAAAAATATATAGATTTTGATTTCATCCTTGAAATCAAAAAATAACCAATTATTTCAAGAAACTATTAAATTACTTAAAAACAACGAGTCCGATATATTCTATTTATTAAAATAATAATAAATCTTTTTCAATGAGGCCGCACAGACGAAGCTCCAGAGAAGTGCTTCCTTACCATAAAAGAAAATTAAAGCCGACACATAAGATAATATCAAAAGAAAAACATCAAACTTCAATGAGAAAATTTTTCTCGAATCCAATATCTCGATCAGAGGTGGACAGGGAGTATATCTAAAAGCTTGAATTAACACGCAGCTTGCATAACATTTACAAATTTACAAGAATAACTTGAAAGTTATTTTCGTATTATGAGAATATCTTTCACAAGCCGCTGTATGTTTGTATGCAATTGCAAGAAGCCTTCCGCATGTCCATGCTTATTTCGTATTGGTATTTAAATCAATAAATATAACTAGAAAAAATCAAAAAATACTAGTTTGCTCAAAAGAAGCAGGCCATCCCGCCGACGCGTACTCTATTATATTCTTCGAAATTTTACTTGGGAAAACTGAAGTCGATATTCATTGGTATTCAGAAATGGCGGTAGTACGGTAGTCTCGACCTTCACTGCTCCCGGGAAAAGCTCTTCGGTGCTTGCAACTGGGCCCGCAGCCATTGCGGCTGAAGCCAACCGTTTGCAGGGGCCTCCTTGTTCGGATTAGGATGGCTGCCCACATGTCCTCGAAAGTGAAAAGCTTCTTTGGGTTTTTGGCATTGCAGGCACTGGGATGGGGCTGTGGGCTTGCGGTGCGGTTTGGGGATGAAGGTTCTACCTTGCAGGCTTTACGACTTCGCGCTTTGAAGGTTTCGAAGTTCGAGCTGCATTAGACTGAAATTGCGCAGGGTTGTGGCTTTAAGGTCTTTTTTTCCGGGGTGAAGGGTTCGGTTAAGGATGCGGGGCAAAACCTTCTTGCTCATACAACTGGACATCAGAAAGCACCTGACAGCCTTGCACACTGAAGCCATGAAGTCTCCTCAAACCGACGATGTTCCTGCCCATGTTTCTCCGAAAGGCGATGTGCATCCACCGAAGTGTCTGCAAGCTGCAGCTTCTGAGGGCTCTGCTTTGAAATAGGAGGTATAGGACTGAGACTGATCTTACAGATGTCACCCGAAAGGCTGTAGGGCTTGGGGTTCAGGATTTCGGGATTGGAGCCTGGCACCAGCATTTAATTACTTCCGGTCTGCATTACCGGATCACTTCGCTTGCCTGTACGTGCACTGCCTGCACCCGTTCGGCGGAAGCGGCCTCGGTTTGGGCTCAGGGCTCGGGACTCAAGATCTTTAAGGTTTAGGGTTTAGGGTTTAAAGATCCTTGCAGGGGTTTAGGAGTTTAAGGTTTAGGGCTCAGTCAGCTTCAGGTCTTTCGGATGTAATGTCTAGGAGTTTAGATTCTGACCTGTAACTTCAAACCTTGAAGCCCCAACCCCCTAAACCTGAAACCGAGAATGGTTGCGGTGATTATGAGAGGTATGTATTAGTTTGACGGTGATCTACAGAGGCACCCTAATTTAGAAAACCACCCAAAGGTTCGTGATCAAAAGCGTCAACACCAAACCTTCAGTTCAAATTCCAAAACACTGTAAACACACAAGTCCATAAGCCCAAAAGCGTACCAATCCACACACAACTTTAAGAGCCCCAAACCTTTTAATTAAACACCGAAACCCACGGACTGGCCCTTGTAGGAACCCTCGCTGCAAGACTTTAGGAACCCCCTCAAGCCTTGGGCTGATGCCCGGACCTTCGCCAAACCCTACACCCTAACCCTAAACCCCAAAGCCAAACACTCATCCCTAAACCCCAAACCGCTGCTAAGGGGCTCAGAGCTGGAGAGCGTCCAAAAGTGCAGCGTGGCCGAAGTTCACGAACTCGTCCTTTGTAGGGCTTTGGGCTTCGGGCTTGGGGCTTAGGGCTTAGGGTGTAGGGCACGGGGTTCAGGGCTTAGGGTTCGGGGTTTGGGATGGAATTAACTGGTCTATACTGGGCTCCTGTACTCAGGTTTGGATGGACGAACTCGTGCTGTAAGGTTGAACTTGAAGAGCCGTTAAGGATTAGGGCTGAGCGCTTCAGCATTGTTTCTTGGGTTCATGCAGGGTCCAAGCAAAGTTCATATTAAGTACATGGGCAAAACCGGCCAACTCTGCACTGGGCACAAAAATGGTATTTTACAATTTCCCCTTGTCTGATCACACCATATACTCATAGCCAAAACAAACCCGAAGCACCGAGCCATAAAACGAACTCCAAGCCCTGAACATCCCTGGCCCTAAACCCCGTCCTCCACCTACACGGAAGGCCATAGAAGCCCCTTCGACCAAAAAGACCAGAGAACTCGAAAAAAGCAACCACAGCTGAAAAATGCCCGGCCCGATGGCACCAACTGAAACCCCAAAACTCGGAAGACTTAGGACCCCCAAAAAAGCCCATAAGCAAAAATTGGGATAGGGATATCCCATACCTCACCCCTTATAATGAAGCCCAATCAGGTAGGGATAGCCCGCTTATGTCCTTTTTGGGTCCCTGATTAAACAACGGTGTTGTACTTCTTTCTGCACTTTTTCTGCTCTGCATTGCTGTCCCGGAACACCCTCGGGATGGCGAGAGTTTAGGGTTTAGGGTCTATGGAGATTGTTAAGGGTTTGGACGTCCAAGAAATGTTGGGCCAAAGTTTTGACCTGATTTTCCCTTCGCACCCTGACGGCCTGGGTGTTGGCCTGGGATTGTTAAGATGGTGCCGAAAAGTTTTGAGCGAAACGTTTGGAGCGGGTTTAACCTTTGCACCTTGCTTTCTGCTGGGCTGTGCTGGGATGGGCTGAGCGTTTTGACCAGGTTATGTTTGCAACTTGCTCGCCATTTTCGCGTGTGCTGCGCACCTTGCTTTCCGTTTTCGGTGGCTGGGGGCGGACACACGTGGGCGACGCCCTAAACCCGAAATCCTAAGCCCAGCAACAGAATCTCCACCCTGTCGACCCCCCAACCCCGAGCCTTGCCAATCTTGCCATCGTTGCCTGAGGTTGAGCGTTTAGGGCTTCGGGCCTTAATAATCAGAATAGGGTTTTGGGGTTCCTTATCAAAACTATAGTAGAATGGGCCCCAAAACCCTCTTCTAATTACTCAGGCCCCTAAAATAAAAGGTTTCGGGCCGAGGGTCACAGGGTTCTGGATCTTCTTCTGGATCCTGGCAGGGCTTCTGCACGGGTTCTCAAGCCGAGCTCTCAACCAAGAACGGGTTCCAAAGTCCTGGATCACAAGGGCCTAGAGGAGGGACCCTTAAAGGGACCCTTGGCGTTATATAGGGGCTTTCTGAGACTATATAAGGGGTCCCTTAAAGATCAGAACCGGAGCGGCTCAATCCGAAGTCAGCAGAGGACCCCGTCGCTTGCAACACTGCTTGCCGCTCAGGTGCTTTGATCGCAGCGCCTGCGCGTCAAGTCAGGAGGCTTGGACATGCTGCACACTGAATCTCTACAATCTAAGCCCTGCGCCTGTAGTGTGTAATCCCTAAATCGCTAAAAGCCTAAACCCTAAACATAAGACTACTGAATCCAATATTGGAGTCAGAACTAGCCGTAGTATGCCGCAACCATGAACCCCAACTTTCCGTGGATGCTCCGCAGACCCTGACCCTGTGCCCTCCAGATGGTAGACCCTCACTCTACACACCCAATTTTTTCAATCATAAACAGGGATACCACTGTTTCCCCGCAAACCCTGCACCCCAAGCCCCCCAAACCCGATCTAAAAGATCCCTTGTACCTTCCCCAGCAATCCTAACCCTAAACCCTAAACCCTAAATCCTAAACCCTTAAACCCTGCCCTGGCCTCCGCAAGAACAAGGCTTTCTCGAACTGCAGGTCGGGTGGGAAGCGGGAGTTCGCCGACTGCACGGCCACGTCCATCGTCGCACCTTACTTGGAGGTTCGTGGGTAGTTATATGTGGGGTTATAAGTCCCCTTATGTGGGTTGCAACTATAGTTACCCTACTTATAGCCCCACTTATAACTCCCCTGAACCTCCAAGTAGAGGGGTTGCAATCGCGTTTCAGGGGTTTTTGTTCGGCATTGCGGGGTTGAGGACTTCGGGTTTAAGGATGATACCGATACTCTACATCGCCGCCATGTGAATCCTAACTCCTAACGTTATGCACCATTTCCATATCAGAGTATACATACGTGGTTTGTGGTTCGTCAACGTGCTGTATTGCAGTACTGCTACTACATTATGCGGCACTAAACTCATGTATTACTCTGTGTTTTTCTATGTGAAAGTAAAGGGATACGACCTACCGAAAAGAGCGCCTTGTCCACAGCATCTGCAGGGTTTCGGAGTTTGGTTTTAGCTTTGCGGGGCTTCTGCAACCGTATGTGAAATTTAGGGTTTGGGCTTAGGGTTTAGGGTTTGAAAGTTTGTGGTTTTGGGTTTAGGGAAGCCCTAATAAGGGATCGTACCATTCAGACTCATACAGCCCAGTATGGACGACAGCCCTTCCACCGCAGATTTTGGCGGAGAAGCGCATGCCGATCATTGACCCCCCCAATCCGGAGTTCGAAAATCTGGACGCCGCATTCTCAGCTAGAAACGATAAAAGCTGATAACAGAAAATAGAAACCACGAGTCCAAGAAGCAACAGAACGAGTCCCAACCGGAAAACCCCGCACTTAACCCGAAACCACCCTAAACCCTAAACCAAAATCGTCTCACCCGAACCCCAACAGCCCTAAAGCCGAAACCCAGAGTTGCGTCCTGTCCTCTGCTGTAGCTGTTATTAACCTAGCCCGGCGACAACCCTCACCCCGAAAAGAACAACGACATGGCTCTTCTTGACCCTAGACCCCAGCCGAATAAATTCATGTTCCAATAATTAAAGGCTTGAACGATTGGAATAGCATTGCGAAGTATTGAGCCTTCTACATGATCCCTAAGCTGCAAAACGCTAAACAACCCTAAACCCCGAAGCCCACACGCCCGCCGCAACCCCAAAGAACAGTAGTAAAAGGCTAAGGGGCCCTCGGCCGTCCCGCCCACGTGGAGGAGGCCGGCGTACAGCTCCAACAGCAAGAGCATGGCCTGGAAATGGACCCTGAACCCTAAACCCCTAAACCCTAACCCCTAAACCCAAACCCCTAGACCCTAAACCCTAAGATTTGCTTGTCGTTTCTGCTTGATAGTGGGGGAGGGAGGCAGATTGAGGTTTCGGGTGTTTTGGGATGATGGCATTTTTAACGGTTCAGGATTCAGGGCTTCAGGAATTTGGGGACGTATATAGATTTATAAGGTTTCCACTTGGGGAGTCTTCGGCTGCCTGGAGGGGAGAAGCGATTCGGGGGTGCATTGTACCTGTATATTGTTGATGAAGGCGAGGTTTCATTTCATTGTCAAGCTTCTGGGAATGCAGCCTTGAAGCGAACGAAGCTACGAAGTTAGGACTCTCGTAAAGAACCGTTCATCGCCTGACAGCAAACGGCAAGAGGTGACAGCTGGTTGACTCTTACTGCAGAGATGCCAAAACCTAATGATGTCCCCAAGTAGTTGGTCCCTATATCACTACAATAGAACATTCATTCCGCAAAGTCTGATTCCATCCTAAATCTAAACTACACCCCACATACCATGTCCACCCAAATTCCACAAGGTGGGGTGGCGCTCTGCGGACGTCTGACTCTGACTTGCCTTTGCCTGTGCGCTATCTTTATATTAGGGCAGTATAAGATGACGAGGAACCCGAGGCCCCAGGGAACAGCATCTATAAGAGAGTATATGATTCAGTAAGGAACCCCACGGAACAGGATTGCCAATTTTTCTAAAGTGCAATGCGCCCCTTTTCCGTGCGACAGCTGATTGCCAATTTGAAGCCCCCTGCAAGACTCGCAAAGCCGGAGCAAGACCCTCACAAGTCCTACTGTCAACTTGTACGAACTCTCTAAGACCCTAACCTTTAAGCCGAAACCCTAAGTCTTGTTTTGTCCCCAGACTGACATTAAACCCGAAACAGCGCTTAACCCTGAACTCCCAAACCCTTACGTGCCGGACCTCACCCAAGCGGAGAACGCAGTCCTCGGAAGCATGTGGGGCTAAGGTCTTTAGGATTTGGAGCTTAGGGTCACTAATGATTCCCTAAACCCCACACCCCGAACCCCTAAGCCCTAAACCCCTAAACCTAACCCTTAAACCGACTTGGGGTTAAGGTATTTAGGGTTTATGGCTTCGTTAGGGCTCTTGGGACTGAGCCCTACTTACCGGCAACGGGTGCTCGTCGGCTTTCAGCTTTTAAGGGTTTTGGGTTTGGGGTTTGGGGGTTTAAGGGTCCGTATACCGAGGATCCCGAAGCTCGAAAGCCCTGAGTGTAAGGGCTTGAGTAATGAGAATAGGGTTTTGGGGGCTCCTTATTGTCATTATGGTATAATACACCCCACAACCCGATTCTGATTCTGAAGGCCCCTACATTATGGCACTTACCAGTCTCCCGCAAGCCTCACTAAACGCGACACTGGGAACCCTGAACCCTCAGCCCTGAAACCAAACCGAGTGGCCATGTCTGTGTCGTAGCAGTGAAAGAGGATAGCCATCGCGCCTCCAGTCGGGTTTGAGGCTGCCGCGCTGGTTTTGCGGAGATTGCATGGGGGTTTAATGAGGGTTTGTTTGGAGTTAGGGAGTTATAACTGCTTAAACAGCTACCCACGAAGCGTTCGAACGTCTAATACGCTGACTTTATTCGGAAACCTACGGAAGTTGATTCGGAAACCTACGGAAGTTGATCATGATTCAGGCCCCTACTTTGTTGGTTTAGGGTTTAAGGTTTAGGGGGCTTGTGGGGCTTTGGGCTTTCTTGCAGCAGGAGGCCTTCGAAACCCGCATGTTTGAGTTTGATGAATACCACTTGTCGCCATGAGCTGCTGGAAACTCATCTTTTCTCAAGGTTCTGTAAAGTTCGCTTTGCCGCAACCCCCAACAACCATAACATTAACAAAAACAATGAACGCTGAATGCCGCACGCTTCACGCCACTCCCCCAATCCTGCTGCTCTGAAGCTACACTCCGCACCAAGCTCAAGAAAGCAGGAGCTGTAAGTTGGGCACTTGCAGCGGTTGCAAAAAAAACAGGCAAATGAAGCAAAGATGCAAGACAAACGGAAGTGATGGGAAACAACTTAATTGCATGAACCCGGCTCCCCAAAATTTAGGGTTTGGGGTGTACGGTTTAGGTAATCCCGACGAAACCCCAAATCCTGTCCCCAAGACCCCATACTCGTACTTAGTAACCATAGTAGCAAGGTAGAGATTCCTCAAAACCTCAAGGTATATTCTCCCTTAGTAAGGAGCCTTCAAAACCCTATCAAAATCCGATAATGAATCGCGTATATAAGCCCCACAAAGCATCCCATCCCGTCGCATCCCATCCCATCCCATCCCATCCCATGATGATGCTGCAACCAAGTACCACTTCTTCGACACAAGCCTCGAGGAAAACCACATTCCAAACCCTTTCAAAAAAGAAACAATCACAAGCTTAAAAACCACCCAGACACACAAACCCTAAACCCTGCACCCTGAACCCCAAACCTTAGAACCCGAACCTTAAAACCCCCGGCCCAGTATAAGATCCCCCCAAACCCCAAACCCTCTTCGAATTGTTAAGGCCCCTATAGCACACATTCCTGTGCCGCCCAAGAGAGCTCAGGGCCCCGGCGTGAGCCCAAAGGCCGGCCGTCCAACAGCGCCGAGGCCACGCCCTTTGCGGCGGCCCAGCGCTTCCTTCGAAGGGAGGGCTTCCGGTTACAAGGGCTTAGGGTTTAGGGCTTTGGGTTACAAGGGTTTAGGGTTTAGGGCTTAGGGTTTAGGGCTTCGGGTTGAGGGCTTTAGGGTTTAGGGCTTCGGGTTGAGGGGTTTAGGGTTTAGGGTTTAGGGGTTTAGGGTTTTAGGGTTCTTTTGAGGGTTCATGACCCACTAGGGACTCCAAGGTCTACAGTGAATTTTTTGTGCTCCTTCGAAGGGACGGTTTAGGGCTACAAGGGTTTGGGGTTCTTGGGTTTAGGGTTTAGGGTTATGGGGTTTGGGGTTTAAGGTTTCAGGGATCGTTTAAGGGCTCTTGGATTCTGAGGCTTAGGGTTACATGGGTTTAGTTCATGGCTTTAGGGTTACAGGGTCTCGGGTTCATGGCTTTAGAATCTGTGGTTTAGGGTTCAGGGCTTGGGGTCTAGAGCTAATGGCTTTTGCATCTAGGGTTCTTGTTCAGTGCTTGTCGGTATAGGGTAGGGGTCTTGAGGTTTCGGGTTCCCTGTGTTCTTGAAGTTGGAAAAGCCTAGGGCTGAGGTTCGGCTAAAGCAGAGGCCTCGATCTCAACAAGGATGGCTGGTAAGGGCCATGTTCTCATAAAGGAGCCTCTGTCATTGCAGTAGCAGCCCCAAACCCGAAACCCCCTAAACCCGAAGAGCCCCGAACCCTAAACGCCCCAAGCCCCCTGAACCCGAAACCCCCTAAACCTCCCCCAAATCGTCAAAGGCCTCAGAAGGCAGGATGAAGGTAGGCAGGATGCAGGATCCCTTATATAGAAGGTCTGAACTGGGGATCATCCCACCTGTCTTTATACTTTAAGCCCCAAACCCGAAACTCTTTACCCTAAATCTAAACCCGATAACCTAAGCCCTAAACCCTGAACCCCGAACCCTAAACCCTACACGCTCTACCTTAAACCCTAAGCCCCATACCCGAAGCCCTAAACCCTATGCCCTCGATTTGACATCGGAATGCCTCCGGCTCTCCGGCGTCTCGGATCGAGTGGCCTGGTGCCAGGCCTCGGGGTTTCAGGGCTTCGGGTTAGGGACCCCTAAAGGTGCGCTTCAAGGGGCCCGTAGAGGGACCCATAAAGGAATGCGTAAAGGGCTCCTGAAAGGGACCTTTCAATAAAGGGACCCGTAAAGGGATCCTTGAAGGGACCCTTAAAGGTATCCCATGCCAGAAGAGACTGGGATATGCCAACAGACTACCAAGAAGATATTCCCAATGTTGCAAGCTCCCCCTGTAAGGTTCGCGCCTGTCTTCTTGCAGAAGCCCCGCTACGTAGCAACTGGGAGGCCGGCGCAGTCCCGGATGACGGATCTCACCTCGCGGCTTTGCTGGGGGCTTTAGGATTTGAGATTTCGGGTGTTCAGGATTCAAGGTTTAGGGGTCCAGGGTTCAGGATTCAAGGTTTAGGGTTTAGGGTTTAGGGTTTAAGGTTTAGGGTTTAGGGTTTAGGGCTATGGATTTGGGTTTCAGGGGTTCGGGTGTAGGTTTCTAGGGTTTCAGGGATGGTCAAAACAGGCCCTAAGGATTGCAACGAACACAGCTGTTGGAGAATATCGTGTAAACGTATACATGTCAAAGAACTGTATCGCGATTCTAGATTCAATTGCAACAAGCGGTAGTAATTAGCAATACCAAGCCGTGGTTTCTGCAATACAACTACTCGAGTGATTCAGTCCCCCATAGTAGAGCGACGGGAAATTTTGGTCTGAACCCTCGACCCAAGGGCGCAACATCTGAAAGTTTCAATCAGGCTGGCACTTCTAGAAAGGGAAAAGCCAAAAAGAAGAAGGCTTGTCAAACAACCATCTCAGGCCGCGACGGCATTGTACCAAACGGGCACATCCTTCAAACTGAGAGCCATTTCTATCAAACTCTACGCCCCAAGCCCTAAACACCTCAAACCCTGAAGCCCAATAACTTCAACCCAAAAACTCAGACAGCCTTCCTTCTCGGTTGAAACAACAATAAGCGGTGAGGACTTGTGGAGGGGTGCTGGGGTACGGCACAGTATGGGTGCTCACAGGATTGCGTAGGGGTTTTGTGGGGCTTTTAACTATGAGTTAATGTCGGGCCTGATAGGTTTTAATACTGGGGGGATCAATAAATAGACTCGGGTTTTCGGATATCTTGTACTAATATTTTTGGAGGACTGCAATAAGGCTTGACGTGGCGCGACTGTTCGAGTTGAGAGTTCATGGGGTTCTCTATATAAAGAACGAATAGTGGTTCTGCAAGGCTTTGTGGTTCCTTGGGGTCTGGCAGGTTTTAGGCGTTGTTGTGGAGCTGACGAATTTAGGCTGTCAGGAGTTGAGTCGTCCTGCAGAGGTGCAGGCTCGTCACCTTCGGATTTCCGGGATGGCAGGCTGGCTTAAGCTACCGTACATGCTTGAGCACCTCGGAGCGTGAGGTTCAACACTGATTCGTTGAAGCTTGAGCATCCTTGTCCTGAGTCCACTTGTTGTGACTGTGAAACAGGGCATGATCTCTGAGTATATAAAATGAACAAATGGAGCATTCAAAAACAGCGGAACCAATGCAGACCTCCAACAATAAGATCCGTGGCATAAACACCGCTACATTCGAGACCCCTTAAGCAGGGGCCCAAACATATACCAAGCCACCATCTGTGCTGATGCCTCATTCTGCGTTTGCGTAATAGTTTGGCTTCAGTATTTAGGGTTCACGATTTAGGACAAGGTAGGCCACATCTACTCAACCCACAGCCCTGTACTCCTACACATCAAACCGTCAAGGCCCCAAACCCCAATGCACAAACTCTAAAGCCCTGCAGCGTCCAGGGCTGCAAACAAAAACTCACTACACACCAGGGCCTTAATTCATAGAAGAAGATGGGTATGTATCATAGTATTGCTGTCATTAGAAAACCTGAACAATAGTGTCAGGCTCCTAAACGTTCCCTTGCAGAAGAACGGCTCCTCTTCGCCTTCCACTGCGAAGCCGAGGTTGCCGCCGTGCATCAGAATCTTAGGCTTTAGGATTTAGGCTCGGATCTAGGGTCGAGGGTGCAGGGTTTGGGGTGGCTTAGGCAAACCCCCAAACCCTAAATCCTAGATCCTAAACCTACCGCGAAAAAAAAGCAGAATGCCGGGCGGGGGAGCTGTGAACTGCGCCGCCGCCATGTCGAAGTGACGATCTCCGGTTTGCACCACGATGTCCTAAGTGATTTTTGAGAAAGGATTCACGAGTGCTTCAGAGTTTTGGGTTCCTCTCAAACTTTCAGGGTTGCTCTCCACCACGGTTTTCATTTGCGATAAGGGGCTTTACAAAGCGCTTAGAAACCTACAAAAGGCTTGAGGGTGGTTGCGGGTCTGGGGTTCTTTTTTTGGTGCGTTCGCGTTTGGGCTGTGGGCTGTTTGAAGATTCAGGGTGCTCGGACCCTAGACCCTAGACCCTAAAACATAATAGGCCTTAGGGTTTTTGGGCTGTGGGGTGGACCACCGACCGCCGGGGTGACTTGAACGATCAGTTGTTTATTTCTATGCTTTGACTTAACATCATAGTACACACATAGAGAGAGAGAGAGAGAGAGAGAGAGATATATATATATATATAGAGAGAGACACACTACAGTCTATCAACAGTTAATACTAGATGACACAGTATACTCTTACATCATCTGAGGCCCGAGGTCTTACTTTGATTTATCAGGAATCATAAGGTCTTTCAGACGACATTTAACAGTGAAATGGAACTTGCAGCTAGCATAGGCATACGTCGCGCTCGGTGTCTTTATTGCATCATCATACGAGTGCTGACAAGGAATGAAATTGCCAGCTGCCCGCACTGCTTGGCCTTGAACCTCGGTAACTCTCACTATTGGTGTTGTGATTTTTGTTTTCTTCTTGCTGCTGCTGCTACTACTACTACTACTACTACTACTACTACTACTACTACTGCTACTACTTCTTCGTCCCCGCCGGGCGGCGTAGGCCTTCCGCAGGTCCCACCAGGCGATGGGCCGCGGGGCGCGCCGGGCACCGAAGATTCCAACCTTGAAGTCCTCTGCCCGGTTTAAGGCTTTGGGTTTCGGGTTTGAGGTTTAGGGTCGCGGGTTTAGGGCTTAGGGCTTAGGGTTGGAGGTTTAGGGTTTTACGGCTCTGCAGGCTTTAGGGGCTTTGAGGGTTTTGGGGTGTAGGGGCTTTAGAGCTTGTGGGGGGCTTTCGGGGTTTTAGGGTTTAGGGAAAGGAAATCGTTTGTAGGGTGTTGCTTTCAGCGGTTGCCGAGTTTATGCAAAGTTTTGAAGGGCTTTGAGGCTTGATCGTGATGTCAGACGGGCTTGCGGAGGAATATAAAGACTCAAACTCCTACGCCCAAAGTCGAATGGGCTCTCATCCGCTAGGCCGTCGTCCTCCATCGAGGCCCAGTGGAGCAGCGCAGTGCCAGAGATCGCCTGGTAGACCAGCCTGGGGGGAAGCTTTTAATTTTCTTAAGGTTTCAGGTTTTGTGCTCAGGGATAAGGGCCTAAGGTTTATCTTTGTTGGTTCTCTTCTGGGGCTGTTGGGGTTTAGGGTGTCGGGTTTCGCCACAAGGTTCTATTGAAGTGTGTGTCTGCTTGAAGGGGTGGGGGGTGTTAGGGTTAAAGGATCAGGTTTGCAGGCATTGGGATTGGAGGGTTTAGGGGATCCGGCGGGAAAGGGATCAGGCGGATTAGGCTTTATACAGGGGCCTTAGTAATTAGAATAGGGTTTTGGAGCCCAGTATACTAGAATTAAAATAAGAAATCCCTAAAATAGTATTGGTAGTTACTTAGGCCCCTACATTAGTTTAGGGGTTTTTGACGAAACAAACCCACAGGCCTCACCCAAACCACGGGATGTTCGAACCTTGGCCCCCAGTTTTGGGGTTCAGAATGGTTCAGAGGAGCAGCGCCTGGGAGTTGGAGTTCGGGTTTAGGGTTTTTGAGGTTTAGGGTTTGGGGCCCTAAACCCCCTCCCCCCCACCTGAAGCCCTACACCTAATGTAGCGTCGGAATAATTAGCAGTGGTATCTCCATCCTGGTCCCCATATACCGACAGTGTAGTGCAGCCCAAACTGAAGTCTAAGTCTCATTGTGAAGGCTCCGACATTAAACCTACTCTGCGGTCCTGCCTGAAGTCGTCGAAATGCAAATTCATCCTGTGCTGGGCGGCAGGTTCAGGCTCTAGACTCTAGGGTTAAACGGTGTTCCGTTAAAACTCAAGGGTTCCGAAAAACTGCTGCACGGGTTCCAAATGAAAGTTGACGGCGTAGGGCTTAAAGACTCCGGATTGAGGGTTTCGGATTTAGGGCTTAGGGTTCCGGATTGAACAAATACGGTTTAGGGTTGAGGTTTTCGGGTTTATGGTTTGGGGTTTCGGGTTAGGGTTCCGAGTTTAGGGTTTAGGGTTTTAGGGCTTAGGGTTCCGGATTAAGGGTTTAGGGCTTGGGGATTTCGGGTGCTTTCAGGGCTTGGGGCTTGAGCTTCGGCATCGGGCTCCGGGGTTGAACACTAAGGCTCAAAGCTAGTGCATTCAAGTGCCGTAAGACCCCTGAACCCAGCAGCAGAACCCCAAACCCAAACCCCTCAACCCCAAACTCGGGCCTAAATTTAAACCCCAAGTTAGCCCTGGAAGCAATAGGAAAAGAGGCCTACATACCAAGATATGTACACATTATGTAGTGAACTCATCCATCCGTCCTCATATGCACTCATATGGGTCCATCCATCCATGCATAGATGCATGCATGCATGCATACATGCCTAAATACCTACATATCTGCATAGGTACATACATACATACATACATACATACATACAGACATACAGATACATACACACCTACATACAGACATACATACATACATGCATACACACATACATACACAAATATATACATACATAATTGAATAAATATATACATACATAAAGTCTAACATACCCCAAACCCTACTCTAAATATTAAGGCCCCTATATTGCATACACAACCACACCGCGAGGAAAGCCCGTTTCTCCGGGGGGGTTTGGGAGTCTAGCGCATCGAACCCCGGAAGCCCAGCAAAGCCCCCTTCACATTCCTAAAAGTCAGCAACTCTAGACCCAATGTGGGGTTCAGGGTTTAGGATTTCGGGTATAGGGACTAGGGTGCAGAAGTTCGGATTCATGGTTAAGGGTTTAACTTTGTGACCACACCTGTCGGCGGAGACATCGTTGTCCGGATGGCGACCTTCGAGCATCCCGGGAGTTTTGCCACGGCATTCCCCCACGCCCAAAGCGTAATGTAGGCTTCTTATTGAACGAGGTTCTGACAGGGCCCTGGGGGGTATTATAGGCCTCTTACTGAATTAGGTATAGGGCTCTTATCATAGGGCTTGATGTTATGGGGCTGAGTATGCCAGGGTTCTTTGCTTTGGGATTCTTTACTCGAGGAGTCTATAGGGAATGTACAGCAGTTGGATAAGATCTGGCTTCTCACGATTGGGGGTGTCGAAACCTCTCAGCGGGGTAGAAAGGCAAAGCACCGTCCATCATGGCTACTCTACGCCTAAACCCGCATTTCCAAACGACAATCCAAAAACGGAACCTTCGAAACACCGGCCAACCCCGCCTCCATAGGAACCGTTCGCGTCGTTGGTGGCCATGACCCAACCTCGCATTGCAGCTTGGGGGGGGGGGGCTGAGAGCCCAAGACCCGTCAACACCCCTACCCTCAAACTTGCACGGTGTTGGAATACTCCGAAGTGCACAACAGCTTCCCCTAAACCCCAAAAAACCCAAAAAAACCCAAAACCCAAAACCCCTAAACCCTATACCCTAAACCCTAATCCCCAAAACCTGACACCGATGCTCAAGCTGGACTCTACTCTCTTCTCCGTTCTCGGACGAGGGGCCGCAAACGTCGGACTCGGCCGAGGGCTGGCACTGGCGCTTTCTAGGCCAATTGCAAGGATGGAGACGGGGCTTAGGGTTTATTTGGGTTTAGGGTTTAGGGTAGGGCTCTAGGGTTTTGGGCTCTGGGGCTTTAGGGCTTCAGTGTTTAGCGTCTACGGTTTAGGTTTAGGGTTTTGAGTGGCGTATGATGTAAAAAGCTTGTCTGCTCGTTATCGGTGAGTCACGTTGCTGTGGTGATTGTTTGCTCTTGGCTTCAGGTTTATAGGCACATCGTGTATGTGCCTCGCACTTTTGTTCATGGGGTGCATGTCGTAAAGGCCCTAAACACTAAACCTGAAACCCTGAACCTTGAACCTGACACGCTAAAGCGCAACTGCACCGCACTTGTGGCCAGTCCAAGCTGCCCTAGTCGGAGATTAGTGCATGATATTCTGATTACTGGTACCTTTTGCCTTTTGAAGTACCTCAGCACTCTCGTCTTAGAAGACTCTCTTCAACACATGTATAAGACCCTTATAAGACACCCCTGGCAAGCCCTCCAAAGCCTTACAAGAACCACCACCAAACCCGGTACTCCCCTTATGGAACCCTTACCCTCGCAACCCCCGTATCAAGGGGCTCACTACTTCTGATGATACTGGGAGGGTGGGATCTTCAGGATACCACGTTCGGGCGAGACACATCTCCTCCTCGCGAAGGACTGCAGCCCGCCGCTGGATGTACCTAGCTTCGGTGCTCTTTGAGGCTTACATGATTCTTCAAGATTTTTCGGGGTGCTTGAGAGTTTTTGGTGTTTTTGTTACGTTGTCTTGTGGCTTCAGGGTCTAAGGTGTTGGACTTGAGAGGTTAGGCGGAATTTAAGGGGCTTTGCTCTCTCTTGGCGCTCCCTCGAAAGTAGAAAGCTTAGCCAAGCTGAACCCAATGAGGAGCCGCCATAAGACTACCCAGGTCAGATTGGGGACAGCCCCGGTGACGACCAGCTCCCTTGCTGCTTTTTCTAAGGTTGAAACCATGGGCCCCTAGTATGGGCCCTTAAGCCTGGGATCCTTATATACCTACTAGAATATACCCTGTATGTATCCTTAAGGGTACCTAGAATCCCCTAAGGGTCCATAGAAGGGGCCTAACCTCAGACTGTTGGCGAGACGTTAGAGCCATTGGTTTAGGGCGTTTGTTCGAAGTTTTCTCCTTGTTTGGGGGTGGTGGGCTTGGTTGGGTTCTTGGAGGTTCATGGGTAGTTATAAGTATGGTTACAAGTCCCCTAATTTGGGTTATAATGATAGTTACCCTACTTATAACCCCATTTAGAACTGCCCATGAACCTCCAAGTTTGGAAGGGACGGACGGATGCCTGCGACCTCTGGTTCTTCCTTGGTGTTTCGATTCCGACATAGCAAGGAAGCCCGGGAAATGGCCTTGGCTTCCTCTACCATGTCTCCACAGATGTAGCATATAAGGCTGATTCATCCTACAGCCATGTATAAAAGCCCGAACCCCCCCAAACCCTAACACCAACAGTAACTAAACCATGAAAGCTTCAAAACCTTCAAACCGCAAACTTTAACACACCATTCACCTTACATACCCTGCACACTAAAACGACAAAAACACATCACCAAACGCCCTTAGCAATCAAACCTAAAACACAAAAGCTCTCAACCCGCGACCCAGAACAAACCAGAGACGAGCGGCTGTAGCGTCGCGGGCGCGGGATACTTGGCTCGTGTCTCGACCACTTCCTGCTGGAGGATCTATAGATTAGGGTGATTGGTGCCTTCTTTTCGGGTGTTGAGGGCTTTGGAAGCTTTAGGGCTGCCTGGCTTAAGGTTTAGACGTCCTAGGTGAAACGATCACTTCGAACCATTTTTCCGAAGGATCGGTTCGGCCCGCCAGACACATTCGGTCAAAATGAGAAGTGCAAGATTGCAAAGTTGGAGCACCGAAAGCGTGAGTTTTGGGTTTGGGCACGGAAACTGAATGTTGAGTTCTAGAACACAAACATTGTGCGGGGCGCATGGGGCAACCACCTTCCTGCCGACTTTGCCGCTCAACGCAAGCTATGAGATCATACACACGAAAAACCTTCAAATGAGCCGCTCCCCCAGAATACACACAGGGGCCTGGATAATTAGAACATGGTGTTGTGGTATACCACTCTATACAGTAACTCTATGTCCCAGGTCCTAGGGGCTATAAGGAGATACTCAGAATGTAACCAGCCGGTCCTGTTTCAGGCCAAATGCCACGGACACAGGTCCGTCCTGGGTCGGGGCACGCGGCTTCCATGTTCTTTCAATCCAAATGCCTGTAAGCCCTATGGTAGTGCTTAGGGTTTCGAGTTGGGACTTTTGACCCGGAAATCCCTAACAAGGGCCCGCGACCCCCCGAAGCCCCAAACCCAAACCCAAGCACGCTCTTGGAAAGGCCATCAAGTGCCTGATCCAGGGGCCTTCTGGATCCCTAATAAGGCTAGGTCATGTATCATTTCTACAGGAAGTGATCTAACAAAAGACTTGTATTTCTTACACAAGGATACCAAATGATACTAGCCCTAAGCCCTAAACCCCAACCGTTGTTCAGACCTTTCGGACCTCTGTCTTGAGGCATATTGTACAGGGACTATAAGGAGACACTATTTCGATTCATTCAGACAACCCTCTCAACCCTAAACCCTTGGCAAACCCTAAACCGTAATGATTCGACCCTAAACCTTAGTCATCCAACCCTAAACCTTTACGATTCAGACCTCTCAGCTAAGGAAGGAGCGACCACCGCCACTGAGGTTCCCACAGCAGGGTCCGAGTCCAGCAGAGGCTGTGGCCTCGGGGTTCTTCAGCGTTGACCGGTTTAGGGCTTGGGGCTTTCGGATTTAGGGGGCATAGGGGTTTAGGGTTTAGCGGGTTTAGGAAGGCTAGGGTTACATTCAACTACCATAACCCGATATTTTTCTAGGGTTTTGTGTTATGAACCCCAATATCGATTTCATAGGGACCCTACAGAAAAAGTAGGTTTTAGGGCTTGAGGTTTCGAGGGTTTCAGGGCTTCAAGGGCTTGGATGTTAGGGTTTCGGTGTCGGGCTTGGAGATTCCAGGCATCCAACACTGCAAGAAAGGTGATTCCAGGCATCCAAGTCTCCAAGACTGGGTTCTTGCTAATGGATTTATTTTTAGTTACTATAATAAAGAAACCATATTTTCTACTATAAATCCCTAGTATGGTAACTCGAATTATAAATTCCTTAACAAGAACCCGGAAGACTGTTTCGCAGTTCAGGGTTAGAGCTGCAGGCCTCCAGATTTCAGGGTTGGGGTTTTGGGCTTTGCCTTGGATGTGAGCCACCTCTTCCAATAGCAGACCCTAAATTAAACCCTAAACCCCTAAACCCCTAAACCCTAAGCTTTAAACCCATCGAAAACTCCTGAAACAAAACCGCGGATCACCCAAATCTAGCAGTAACCAGTACAGCGGCCCTTACACTGCTGTAGGGGCCTTAACAAATTTGGATGAGGTTCTGAGCTCCTTTCTAGTCTGATTACAACAAGGAACCCCAAGATTTAGGCTTCCATATTAACCCTAAACCCTAAACCCTAAACCCTAAAAACCCCAAACCCCAAGAACTAAAAACCCTAAACCCTAAAAACCCTAAACCCTAAAAGCTAAAAACCCTAAACCCTAAACCGTGGCTCTTCCAGAAACCCTAAGCCCAACTGGTTCTGAGGCTGCCGGCGTCTGTGGAAAGGGTGGTGCCATCAGAGGCATCCTGCTCCGTCAAGGTGGGTAGCGATGTTACGGTGCGGGAGTGGGTTTGCGGCGTTGGGGCTTCAGGGTTTAGGGTTTGGGGTTTAGGGGTTCAGGGGTTAGGGTTCAGGGTTTCGGGTTTGGGGTGTCAGGGCTTAGGGCTCAGGGTCTGGGGGTTGCGTTTTTACTGGGTCTCAGGCTATAGGATTAAGGGTGTCAAGGGCTAAGCAGGGTTCAGGGTTTTACAGTTGATGTTGGCTTTGAGGGCTACCGGCTTCGGGTGAGTTCGGTTTATTTCCTTGCTTGGAGGTGGAGGTTCATGGCTAGTTATAAGTATGGTTATAAGTCCCATAATATGGATTATACTTACAGTTACCCTACTTATAATCCCATTTATAACTACCCATGAACCTCCAGGTAGGGGCTCTATGAAGCCTGAAGTCGAAGTGCAGGTCCAGGAAGCTAGGGCGCGCCGTCGAAAGACATCTCCTCTACTCCGGCTGCCGAGCTTTGGACCCACTGCGAGCGCAGCTCTGCGATTTGCTCCTTGAGCGCATGGACGCGCCTCAAGCTGCCTCTCTTCGCGAAGAGACTTCACCGTCCACACAATCCACACGTTGGCGAACGCATGGATTCCCATACTGCTGCTCCGCTTCCACTGCTTCTGCTACTTCTAATGTTTGCCCTCTCCCCGAACTAACATGGAACTCAAGACAGCCTCCTTTGAAAGCACCTTTAATCAATAATATCGGGGTCTTGAAAATTTAGAATAGGGTTCGGGGGGTATATCTCTTGCAGTCAAGGTGAGGATCCTTTGCGGAATGCTATTAACAATATCGCAGGCTCTTTACTAATACCTCATCCAACTTGAGTACCGCATTTAGCTTCTAAGCTGTTCAGGAGCGTGGAAGCTTTGTTCCTATGAAAGTCGCGAGGCACACGAAAAAACATAACATCCTCCCCTTGTGGTGTCATTTAAAGCCACCTTGGATTTTTGGGGACTACGACCAATCAATCAGAGCCTTGATTCTTGACTTCTAGTCCTCGCAAAACGGCTTAATTCCCTACAGCCACTACAGCCTACACTCTAGTCCAGTCGACCGCCATGGTCCGATAAAATCGTGAACCACTGAATCGCCAACGTGCTGGACTCGAGCTTCAGGACCTTTCTTTAGAACGCTAGGCCCTAGATGGCAGGATCCTTGTTGTAAAGACCCCTGAACAAGATCTACGTAAAAAGAACACTGCAAAATAATATCCGAGTTTCCCACATCTGCGTGCCAAGCCGTACTTCGAACTCCGAAACCTATTTTTTTTGTAGGGTCCCCAGGGATCCTACAGTAGTGGGACTCATGGCAAGAACCTGCACATAGAAGATCCGTGTAAAGTTCGATATTCAGGATCAGAATAGGAACCTACACCCTAAACCCTAAACCCCTAAACCCTTAAACCCCTAAACCCCAAACCCTAAACCTTATGGTAGTTTAAGGCACCTCGGTCCGACGCGCGAGCCCTTACGGGAACCCTGAACCCTCAAACTCAGAAGAGCCCAGAAGTTTCACCGCCCAGGATTTAGGGCTTTTGTTTTCTTTTTAATGAGCCCTTTTCCAACTGCGAGTACAGTATAGAATTCCTTACCAGGAGGAGCCTGTTATTGGGGCCTCATCTGGATTTAGGGCTTAGGGTCTAGGGTCTAGGTTTTAGGGATATCACTGAGTTTAAGGGAAGTAGATCAAGACAAAGCCCTAGTACTGGATTGTGGCCAACTTCTAGTTTGGGGCATGTTCCTGAATGAAAGAGCCTGTCATGCCCTGAAAACAAGCTCAAAGAACGCGATCAAGCGCTACAATCCTGCACAGGAACCTGTTTGTACAGGAGCAAACTTTCTAAACGCCCTGTTCCAAGAAGCAGTTGTGAACGATCTAAACACGAACCCCAAACCCTGAACCCTAAATCCTGAGCCCTAAACCCTAAACCCGAAATCTGGAACATAGGCTCTTCCAGATAGCCCAGAGGGGTCCCGGGCGCCTAGGACCAAGGATAGGAGCTGAGACCATGTGGCCTCGCAAGCTCTGACCACTGGAACCTTATATTATGGTTATTCTAAGTATATTCCAGGGGCCTTAATAATTAGAATAGGGTTTTAGGGTTTCCTTATTATGATTATTGTATAATGGCCCCCAAAACCCTATTCCAATTACCAAGGCCCCTATATTAGTGACCCCTTTCATGATTATGGGGTTAAAGGTTTACGGTTTGACACTGCGTAAACCTTAGTCTGCCTTTGAGGAGGAGGAGGGGGGGGTACACTATCGCAGATCGTGACTATACAGGTATACAGGCATGTGGACTTTGGTGTTTTTTTGAGCCCGGGGTCTGAGCTTCAGGGTTTGGGTTTGAGGGCTTCGAGCTTTGGGCCTTTGGGGTTTCTGTTCTTCAATGCTCACGGTACTGGGTTCGGGGTTTAGGATGGACTTCCTCGCAAGACTGGTCCAGTTACTCTCATGGCATCGGGTTTGTACTGATAGGTCCGTGGGCGTGTCCTACGTGTTCGTGCCAGTCTCAAACCTCTTGGCTATGGCTGGAAGTCTGCATGTGGGTATATTTGTATGTCTGATTCCAGGTGTGTAAATGCTGATCAAAATATGGTCTGCACGACTCAGGGGATGTTCTCGTTGGGGAGACATGACTTTGAGTTCTTAGATCATCAAGGAAGCCTGTGCAAAACGCGATCCCTCCCGAGGCGCATGTTGCACGGTAGTTACAACTGCAAGACCTCGAGGTGTGCATTGAATCTCTCTCTCTCTCTCTCTCTTTCTCTCTCTCTCTCTATATATATATATATATATATATATATTATGTATACGCCTCGGAAATGATGGCCCTTCCATATGCTGTGTCTGCTATCATCACGCGCGAAGCATCTTGAGGGGCGGCGACTAACAACAAAAACCTCACCAACCTATCCAAGCACCCTACAATCAAAACCGCTGACCCTAAACCCTAACCCCTAAACCCTAAAACTGCTGAATCTTCTAAGGACCTGTGCAAGAGTGTGGCGTAGGGGCCACAATAATTAGAATAGGGTTTTGGGGCCCAAAATACTATTATGAAAACAAGGAGCCCCCAAAATAGTATTGGTAACATTCAGTGCTTTTGGTTAGAGGGTGTAGTTCGTTCAGGTTTACTCAGCTAGTGCTTTAAGTGACCATGTAAGACTCTAAAGAGTTCAGGAGGGTTTAGGGGGGTTAGGGTTTAGGGTTTAGGGGCTTAGCAGGGTTAGGGTTTAGGAGTTTAGGGGCTTGGGGGGGTTAGGCTTTGGGGGTTTCCGGGTTTGGGAGTTTCGGGGTTCGCCCTTGCCCTGGGAGCTCAAGCAGCCCGAAGCCCCCCCCCTCATGACCCTGGCCTGGTCCCATCTGGCTGCCTGTCCAAGAGTGAGCTGTTCAGGGTTCCTTTAAAGGGGTCTATAGGGGTTCCTTTTAAGGGGTTCTATAAGGGTTTCTGTAAGGGTTGTGTATAGGGATTCCCGACTTTAAACGCTACGGTTTAGGGCTTGAGGTTTAGGGTTTGGGGCCTAGGGTTGAGGACCAAGTAGGCCTCACAGTACATCCGAAATCTTAAACCCTACATCCTGCACCTTGAACCCAGAACGATGCCAGAACCTTAAACCTCATGCCTGAACACGCGGCACCCAAGACCAGAAGCCCAAGAAGCCCCTCAGTGAGTGACCAGTAGGCCCGTCCAGAAGATCTCGAAAGCCACTCCGAACAACAGATGCTGATGAATGTACTAGGGTGACGGTGTGTGCCGGAGTTGTACGGCTAGCACTAGTGTTAGTGCTAGTGCTGGTGCTATCGCTTGCGCTAACGCTAGGGCTAGGGAGCTAGTGCTAGTGCTCCTCCTCCTCCTCCTCCTCCTCCAACTACTACAACCGCTACGACGACGACTACTACGACGTTACTACGACGATGACTACCACTGCCGCTGACGACCAGCACTGCAACCATCATCCGTATACCCAATCCTGCTGCTTTTTCTGTTGCCGCTCGTTCCCTTGACAATACATGCATCTAAGGCGACAGCCTGGAAATGATTCTCAGAACACGTCCCGACCAAACGCTCGGAAAGCCCGAAACGTTAGGTCCCTTCTGACACGTTTAGGATCGAAGGCAGGGCCGAACCCTCACCCCTGAGCCCTAAACCCTAGACCCTACCTTCCAGGGAGGCCGGGTAGCCGCCAAAGCCCTGGTAACTCTGCAGCGGGGCGCCTCCATCGCAAGACAAAGAGTGGTTTAATACAGGGGATAATGTACCAAGTAAATCCTATAGAGTATACTTTGGCAGCTCTAGCATAATTGATCTTCAGGGGCCCTGAGATGCTAGAGAGACAACTACTCCGGCCTCTATACTCTGGTGAATAGACTCTGGGATTCGAAGGTCTACGCTGAGTGCTTTAGTGGTTTTTCGTCTTTAGGCGTGCAGCTTGGGGTTCAGGGCTTGGCGGTTTGAGGTGGCGCGGTTTCAAGAGCCAATTCCCGATTTCGGGTACGCCGGGAAACAAACACCCTAAACCCTGAAGTCTTCGTGCAAGCGTCCGAGCGCCCCTGAACCCTTACGAGTTAGGATCACGGGAACCCTTGATGTCACAGATCCTCTCAATAAGGTCTGTTTTGAGAGAGCCAGAAGTAATCGTGGAAGCCCAAGGTTGCGACACGGGAGCACCAACCAAAACCTGTAGGTGTTTAGGGCTTATAGGAGTTAGGGGTTTAGTGGGTTTAGGGGGGGGTAAGGGGTTTAGGGGGCCAGGGGGTACGGGGCTTGGGGTTCATGACAACTGGAGATAATGAGCCGGAATCAGAAGATTCACATGAGAGAACGATAGACTCTGCTAAGCCCAGCCTTAGCAGTTCAGCCCCCAACTAAAGAGCACGAAACTTAAACCAGCCACTGCAAAAAAAAAAGACTCCCAACTCTAGACCTAGAAGTCCTACCTACATCCCGAACCCTGGAACCCCAGTCATTTCGGTCTGGAATAAAAGCAAAAAGCAACATCTTTGATAGCCCCCTAGCTCTTGGGAATACATTATGTTCAACATGATACGACATCTCTTATACTAGAGACAAAGCAGTCTGGTAAAAGCAGCAAGTCCTACTTGGAGGTTCATGGGTAGTTATAACTAGAGTTATGAGTCCCGTAATATGGGTTATAAGTTATAACTATAGTTGCCCTACTTAAAACCCTACTTTTTACTACCCATGAACCTCCAGACCCTAGACCCTAAACCCCATAGAAGCGTTTGAAGGAACCCTTAAAGAAACCCTCTATAACCCCATTTATCAAGTCCTAGGAGGGACCAGGAACGTTCTAAACTCGATGTTGGCTGAGTCCCGCTGCCCGCTGAGAAGGGACCCGAGGCGGGAGCGCCCTCAAGGGAGGCGCGGCAGGTAATATAGGGGCCTTCATAAAGGTTTCCTTTAAAAGGGTTACTATAAAGGGAAGGTTTCTATCAGGATTGTAGTATAGGGGCCTTCATAATTAGAATAGGGTTTTGGGGTATATTATACTACAAAAGGAACCCCCACAATGGTATGGGTAATTATTAAGGCCCTATGGTAGGGGCTAGGGTGTAATATAGGGGCCTTCATAATTAGAATAGGGCTTTGGGGCCCTTGATACTACACTTATAATAAGGAACCGTCAACATAGTATAGGTAATTATTCAGGCCCCTACGGTAGGGCTTAGGGTGTGGGGTTTTCAAGCAGGGCTTTCAGGTTGCAGGTGTTAGGATCTACGGAAACCCTGAACTGGGGTGTAGGGATTTAAGAGCTCTAGGTTCCCAGGCGACGGAGGCAAGGCTCAGGGTTTAGGGTTTAGGGGGTTTAAGGGCTTAGGGGTTCATGGGGTTTTCGGGGTTCAAGGCTTAGGGTTCATGGGGTCTTAGGGTTTATAGGGTTTAGGGATGGGTCCACGATGGTCCAGATCCGGTTTGTAGGGGTTGAAGGTTCCGTGCTCGCAAGAAGCAGAAACCTAAAGACGAGCTCCCCTAGAGCTTTAAAATGACTAGTAACTAGTTACGGGTTTAGGGTTTAGGGTTTAGGGTCCTCTATTCCTGAAACCTCCTTGAAAGGATAGTATACATTAATATTCTTGTCCAGGCCCTATCTTAAATGCACCGTATGGCCGTAGGGCAACGACGGCCAAGCAACTTTCCGAAACTCTTGCCGACTGCTGCCACGTTTAGGTTTCCTAATCCCACAACCAGGCTTGATTTCGGCCAAGTTGCCATTGCCATCACCGACATGGCACCAGGAGCTTATCCTTGCTCCTAAGACCCTGCGCTCAAGGCTCAATGCCTCTGCCCCTACTTTCTGCCACTCTCGTTCCTCACTTGCTCAGGCTCTACGCAGCATCGTGAAAAACACAAACCCACACTCCTGGCCTCCAAAAACTGCACCCTCAACTCAAGCCCTCAACCCTCTAGCATCACAAAAGCACCTCGTGAAAACGTAAACCCAAAAAACACTATCCCCCCAATGTTCAGAAGGACTACGCTACCTGGTCGCACGGAAGGTCTGAGAAAGCCGGCGCGGAGATTGAACTGCAGACTGCAGCCACGTCTTGGGGTTTTGAAAGGGTTACCTCGAGGGTACTATCAGGGTAACACGACAAAAGGACTTCTGTAAGTGGTGATTTTGAACCACCTGGCCCTACCTTGCTTGAATCTGTTCGGCTGCAGCAGACTATGCGGTGCCGTCGCGGTTTTTCCCACTTGGCAATGCATGAGAGTCTTTGAGCTCTTATCCGTGATCATGTAGGCCTTTGGCCTTCCCAACGAAAGAGACTCGGATGCAACTCTGTCTGCACGAGTCAAGTAGTTGGAGATTGAACTGCAGCCATGTCTTGTGGTTCTGAACGGGTTGCTTCGAGGGTATTATCAGGGTAACACAAAAAAGACTTCTGGAAGTGGTGATTTTGAACCACCTGGCCCTACCTTGCTTGAGTCTGTTCGGGCTGCAGCAGACTATGCGGTGCCGTCGCGGTTTTTACACTTGGCAATGCATGAGAGTCTTTGAGCTCTTATCCGTGATCATGTAGGCCTTTGGCCTTCCCAACGAAATAGACTCGGATGCAACTCTGTCTGCACGAGTCAAGTAGTTGAAGTTCTATCAGTTCTATCGTCAACTTCACGATGGCATGAGTTGTCAGCCACACTTAAGTGAAGACGTCATGAGAACGTGCTATTTCAACAAATTCAACCTACAGGCCAGTAAACCAAGATGCGTCCTTCAGGAACCCCCACGAGAGCCAGGCAAAATAGACAAAAGCTGATAGTAGCAATTGATTGCGGCGAGGTGTGGAGGTTTCCATGCCGAAAACCATCACACGTTTCTGCCAGTTCTTGGTGTGGTCAATGAGATCGTCAATCGGATCGATGAGACCTGGCTTAAGAAACTTGAAGGATGAGACCACAAAGACTTCAACGTTCAACCCACTCTGAGCCCTTTCGGCCCTTGAGGCTTCACAGCGCATGACTCAGGGCGTCCGAATCTCACAGGCCTCTGGTAGTTGCCCTGCTTCAGTGACTTTGACTACGAACACAACAGCAAAGCCCAGCGAGAACGTGCTCACAGCTCAACGAAAGCTCCACACACACTTTTGGGGCCATTGGTGCCAACGATCCTGACCGAGCTCGCTTACGACTCCTTGCACGAAGTTTCCATTACCGGCCTCCCTTCCCCAATTTAGCCACCAGTTGCAGTTGGCGAGGCCCGCCCTCATGTCAGCTGAACCACACAAGCAATCCCGAGCTGTAGAACCGCAGAAGTGGCACCCCAACTGCCGAAAACAGGAAAACAGAGCTAATGACAGCTGGGAGGCTGCTCAGGAAACCGTCCAGGGCTGTTCGCTCGGTGGAGGTGTGGATGTGGAGAGTAGCTGAGAATCTTAATCGCTCCAGGCGCATTCTCCAACCCTGCAGAATCTTGACCGTGTCTTCAAAGAGGTGATTGTCCAGCATCACCAACTGGTTCGTGATAGTGAGGATGACAATCAGAATCACAGGAAACATCACACAACAGAAGAAGAGCATGATGCCGCGTTGATGAATGTGGAAGAAGACTGAAAGGACAAGAATCAGTCCACAAGACACAAGTATCAGAGACAAGAGCATAAGAATGATTTGAGACTTCATCTCCAGCACCAAACAATCTGCTCTCGTCAACAGTTGCAGCAAGGAAAACTTGCGTGCGGCAAGGAAAGGCAACGATTTCAACTCTTGATCCGGAGCTTCCGCAGACCTCACGTCCGGCGCTGACATGGGATCAGTGCGATCGGAAGGCATATGAGTTACATATTCAAGTTGCATCACCCGCCAGGAGCTGCTTGACACCACATAGCGCAAGTGCCCATATCCCTGAGAAATAGTCCGGGACAACAGATTCTCTTCATGATCCTCCGCATCTTTCAAGGGCACTGGGTCTCTGCGAACTTGATCACTGAGATCGTTGCGGCTTTCATTAGCGACGAGAACAAGGCGACCAAAATCGTACCTGTATGTTGCTGCTAAAACAGCACGACGCTTGCGAGGTGCGGACATGTACAACTTGGCAAGTGTGGCAAGCTGTAGGTTGCTCAGACCGTCGATGAGACGCGCACACGAGATGATGAGGTGCCACGATGTAAAGAACATCATGAACATGTATGTGCGCTGGCAGCGCCACACTCCGTCATGTTTGGATGAAAAAATGTCGTCGCTGCCCTTCAGCCATCGGTGCAGTGTTGGAAGCAGCGCTGGAACCAGGGCACAAATCATGAACACGGCCCTCCACTGCGGTGGGACACGCGCTGGAGCAGCCTCCTGCAACCGTTGTTGCAACAACGCACTCGCGGAGTCCTTGCGGTCAATAATGCTGGCACAACACCAGCACGTCCCTAAGACCATGAAACGGTCCCGTGCCAGCAAAACAAAATACACAAATGCATACAAGATAGTGTAAGTGCCAGCATCCCAACGTTCGTCAGCATGGGGGGGCAGGAACTGTAAATTACAGTTTCGGCTCCCCGAGACGGCAAACATACTACATATATATATATATATATTGATTGTAAATTCGCTGTGTGGCTCCTCTATATATATATATATACATATCTCTTGCGTGAGGGCTTGGTATACGATAATATCGCACAATGCTCACCCCACCGAGCTGTATTGTAAGTCGTTGTGGTAGCCTACTGGTGACCAGTGACACTCACTTCCCTTGCAGGCAAACTCGGAGATCTTTTGTTCTCTGGCGCTGAGATCACAGAGATATCTGTGCAGAGGGGGTGACACGCACACGCCGAAATGGCGGAAGGAACAATGACTGAACTGCGTGCTTGAGTCTTGAGCCACATGCCGGAGTTCAGTGTTCGGTCAGTACTTGGTAACCGACGGTTTCCCAAGCTTTGGCAACCAATGGTTTCCCAAGTAGAACATAGCTCATGATACGATGCCCAGAAATGTGCTAGGCTTCGAGGTCTCTTCTCAACTGTAGGAAGAGAGTCGCAGGACCTGAAAAGAAATGATTACTCAACGGCAATTTTGGCGTTACTGGGGTCCTGATGATGATGATCCTTCTGACCATTGCCCATATGGTCCTTGGCGTGGCCATCGATCACGTTGTGGTGGATGTCCTTTGGGTTCAGGTGGATGCCTGGCTCGAGCTTTGGCTTTCGCCCTGCGAGCTTCATCGGCTTCCTCAGCTTCTGCGCGGGTGACGGGTCTGTCCAAGACGCTTCGTTGTCCCTCTGACGTAACGCATTGTTGTTCTTCGTCCTATTACCATGCATTCTGCTCGCCGTAAGCTGGGTAACTGCATTGGTATGTCTAGATCCATCATCACGGCCAGAACGTCCATCATCATGCATATGCCAAATGGATCAGTACATAGCACATTCGAAGGTACACTGTGGTTCCTCGTCTGCAGCAATGAATATTGTCGATACCCTGCAATCTTGCATACGAGCTTGGACAGCATTGCGCAGCAGCTTGAATGCATTTGCGGAGCATCTTCATGCTGGTTCTCACGCATGTGGTACGACGGATCGAAATGCTCTCTTCTGTACCCAAGTTGAATGGCTCCTCTCATCAATTTGGAGAAGTGTCCTGAACTTGTTGAGCAAGTATGTGCCTTCGGGATCGTCACGGTCGTGAAGACCTCTCGCATAGTCGAGCACTTCTTCATCCGTTACGTCTCGTGAGATGCCAGTTTCGCTGTCAACTTGAGAAAGATCTGGTCTCCAATCTCCGAGAATGTCATACTTTTCGGAATACATCGTGCATCGCTGATAGTGGAAGATCCAACCATTTCACATTCCCCTTCCAGTTCTTGTGCATGTAGTTGATGACAATGAATGGCATATAGCGAGCGAGGCCGAGCTTAAGGTCGATGACGTACGCCGACTCGATGTGAGCGTAGACTGGTACCTTCATGCAAAGTTTTGCATGAACAAGCTCCTGGTCCAAATGAAAGGCAGTGTCGTTGACCAGTACCGGTTGTCGAGAACTGATTTCTTCGATTGACTCTTCAATGTCTTCCATCTCCGGCGCGGGTTCCGCCATGACTTCATCGGTGTCCATCTCTTCATCCGGTTCAGCAAGTGTATGTCGATCGTCCTCATCGCTCTCATTTATTGGACTTGCATTGATGTTGTTTTTTCGGCTGCTTGATTGATTTGATCCTGAGGTCTCTCCGAAGGAGTCTCCTCTTGATCGTTGGCTCTCTGATATTTTCCGCGCGATACGAGAACAGAGAAACATTGTGCACATCTGGATAGACATGAAGGAACGTTTCCAAGGCACTAAGGACAAGTTCTGTAGCAAAGTTCATGATCACGGCTCGTTCTTGCTTGGCTGCTCGGCAGCGTAGAGCGCTTCATAGCGGTCCCAGTTGATGTTGTTCCATGGGATGTCGCAGTACTCTCCAAGTCGCGCCACATATTCCTCCTTAGCGGCATCATGTGGTCCGCGTTGCATATCGCGCACCAGCCCCATCAACCTCTCAAGTGTTCTGTAGGTCTTCATGGAGTCAGCAACCGCCGACGTATGGCATTCCATACAAAAATTTCACCCTCCAGCTCGTAATCCAAGATCTCTTCCCCTTGCTCGAAATCTCTTCGATGTTCAGCATTCGGTACACAAAGCCAGGTTTCTCTCACGAGCCAAAAGGGAATTGGTTTGCTGCAAATGATTCCGCTCTCTGTCACTTTGCTTCCTTCACGAACGATGTCGATGAGCGGAACATAGAAGGTTATCAAAGGGGCATGTCTTTCCACGCTTGACCGATATCGAGTCACTTGATTTCTTGAATCCCATGGTGGGAATACACCCCAGTGACTGTGTAAACGGCCGGACATGCTGTGGTTTCCAACGAGATCCCTACCAGCGTTTATGCCCTCTTCCAAGATGGATTCGAGGTTGTATTACTCCGTGGCGTGATACGCACCCTTGATCAAGTTGACAAGTGTGTTGCTGGCCGACATGGCGAACTTTGCGGGGTCAATCTCCATGATTGCTGTATTCCTATCTGAGGAATGTCCACTTGTTGCCCTAATGGCCCATGGCCTCACTCATGCATCGGAATGTTCCAATTGCTCATGACCGATATTCCTTGTACGCATCTTGAGTCGTAGTTCTTCTCTTTGTGTCGCAACGCTCATCAATCTGTTGTCGAACGCTTGTGCATCATGCTCAACGTTCTCCGGCTTCGGTTGTTCGGCCACTCGAATGCCAAGGAATTGCAATGGAGTGTTTCCTGACGATGCGTAGTTGAGGAGATTCCCATCGAACAGCATCTGCAGTCTGTTGTTGAGCTGCCTTTTGCGTTCATCTCTGTCATCGGATGAAGGTTTCTATCCAAATTTCTGTGTGGATGACACCTTCCCGGCCCTCTCCCCTCGCCTGAGCCATGTCCTTTCGGGAAGTCTTCGGAAGTCTTCCGAAGTCCTCGCAAGTCCCAACTCGTGTTCCTCGCAACACCTGAGCCATGTCCTTTCGGGAAATCCTCGGAAGTCCTCGCAAGTCCCAAGCTGTGTTCCTCGCAACACCTGAGCCATGTTTTTCTCGGGAAGTCCTCGGAAGTCCTCGGAAATCTTCGGAAGTCCTCGGAAGTCCACGCAAGTCCAAGCCGTGTCCCTCGGAAGACCAGAGCATGCCCTTTCGGGAAGTCCTCGGAAGTCCTCGGAACTGCTCGGAAGTCCCAAGCCGTGTTCCTCGCAACAGCTGAGCCGTGTCCTCTCGGGAAGTTTTTGGAAGTCCTCGCAAGTCCCAAGCCGTGTCCTTACAACAGCTGACCCGTGTCCTCTCGGCAAGTCCTCGGAAGTCCTCGAAATCCCTCGGAGGTCCTCGCAAGTCCCAAGCCGTGTCATTCACAACAGTTGAGCTGTGTCTTCTCGGGAAGTCCTCGAAACTCCTCGGAAATCCTCGGAGCTTGGGACTTTCGAGGACTTCCGAAGAGTTCCAAACACTTGCGAGGACTTGCCGAGAGGACACGGGGCAGCTGTTGCCAAAGACACGGCTTGGGACTTGCGAGGACTTCCGAGGAGTTCCGGGGACTTCCCGAGAAAACACGGTTTAGCTGGGCTGGACTTCTGAGGACTTCTGAAGACTTCCGGGCGAAGACATGGCTTGGGAGTAGGCCTTTGCCGAGCAGGCGGGGGGGAGTCTCCCCGGCCCCCGACCCCCGACCATGCACTTCAAGCCGATTCCGGACCCGAGCGCAACCAAATCGAGTTAACTAAGCCCGTAACAAACTGAACCGTATCGACACTTAAGAGCCGAGCCGGATCCCAGAATGAAGCCTTTTTTACACTAGACCATATCGTTTCTGCATTGGGCCGGCTCCGATAATTAGACCTTCATAGAGTGAGCCGTGTCGCCCATTGAAGTTGTTGATGACTGAACCACATCCATGTTTGGTGCGGGACCTGACCGCCCTCTTATCAGTCAATGATAAGCATTCCACGGGGGTTTTCAATATAAGACAAGACCCCCAGGCTCTGGAATGGCATCAGTCATCCCACTACCTACAACATTCGCGTTGTGTGCACACAGGGGATGGCGGCACGTTTGACTAATTCAGACAGGGGTCGTCGTCTGGAACAACCAGCATGCGCATCATGGCTTTCATGAACTCGCTCGTGAGCTTTCTTGGACACTGCTGCAACAGTCTACATCGAAAGTGATTGAGTGCACAAACATGTTTGTCCATGTAGAAAGCAAATTCTTGCAACTGGCTGTTCAGGTCGTCCTGTGATGCAGTCTCCATGCTGCTTTCCGCATTGGTATTCAAGACGAAGTTTCGCTGCTCTCTGATTTCATGCATCTCGTCCAAGACCATTTGGCCGGCACCCAGTTCGATGCAGCGCTGACACACATCAGCTATGAACAACAGAGAGATGATCAGGTAGCAGAGAAACGGCCCGCAAATCTCCAGCATCGAGTTGTCAAGATTCCTGAACTCGCGCAACGTTTCCTTCTTGTGAACAGCTTCGGCCATCGTCCACAAGAGATACAATGGCAACGTTGCCAAGCCAATGACCAAAGGCTGCACCACCAAATCTTGCCACCGTCGGTCGGTCTCAAAAACAACGCATACGGCGACTGCTACTGGCACGAAAATGGGCCCGATAACACATAGCGACACAGTAAGCAGCACCGATGCCAAAACAAAGTCCATTGAGATTGCATAGCTGCCTTCGGAATTTACCCGAATCTCTGGCATCTGCTGGCTGATCACGGACACAGTCGCCCTGTAGTAACGAAGGATTGGCACCGGGGACACTACCTTGACATCCTCCTCGTTGACTCTCTTGACCAAAGCTTCGACATCACCTGAACTGTACGACTTCAATTGAACCCCATGACCCGTGAGCGTGCAACGGCCGCGCAATAGAGCGGTATGTCTCCTCTTCTTGGGACTTGGCGACGTGGGCGTCGGGGACTCCGGCTCTGCGAACGACAGCCTTTCATACCCGTAGCCGCTGTAGCCCCGGCTGTGCATTGTGAAGAGTTGAGACCGGGCGATTCAGACGCCAGCTACACAGCTCTCAGGCCCGAAAAAGGCTTCACGGAAGTGGTGATGGACATGAGAATTCTGAGGCCGTTCTGTCGGGACAACTTCTCTACGGCTCTGCGGTGGTCGGGAGTTTGCTTCACACATCTTCAGACAGAAGAACTCGCCTGCATGGGGTTGCAAGGGTCCTGCATGCACGATTTTTCTGTGCAATGGCACGGAACTTGGGGTGAGACAGGGCAGGGCACCGTTTGGCCTGACCCAATGTTGATGGAACGGAAGGTATGTCTTTGACTACGGCTTCGGAACCTCTTGCACGAGAGCGCACATAGCATGCAGATCTGGCAAATTAGTACTAATCTGCGCATTTAAATGCTACATCTCTGCAATCACCCGTTTGCAAGAAAGTCGAGCAACAACCTTGAACCTGCCATCCAAACATCGAGAACAAATTGAACTCATGATTCTGGAACCTGACACGCTTGCACCTTGAATTCCTCATGCAGTTGGCTACGCATCCCTGCCAAGCTCTGCAGCCTGCAAGCCCGAATGCGCAAACCCTAAACCCTGAACCCTAAACCCCAAACCCTAAATCCTAAAGTCTAAGCCTTAAACCCTCATCCCGAAACCCGAAATACTGCGCTTGCCAGGCGATCCCGAAGCTGCAGACACCTGGGCTCGGCTTCACCACAAGGCTACTAAGGGTGTTTAGGGTCTAAGGCTCTGGGGTTTAGGGTTTAGGGGCATTTAGGGGTGTTTAGGGTTTAAGGCTTTGGGGTTCTAGGATTTACGGTTTAGGGTTTGGGGAATAAAGGTTACGACACCATTTATCGGCTTGTGTGCTTTGGAAGACTTCGTTTAGGAGCTGGGTTCGGTATGCCAGGATTCAGGGTTTACGAGATTGGCTGGGATCAGGGTTTAGGGCTTAGGGTTTAGGGTTTAGGGTTTAGGGTTTAGGGTTTAGGGTTTACGAGATTGGCTGGGATCTCCTGTTGTAGATGTAAGCTGCTGGGCCGGCGTAGACGGCTAAGGAGTTCAGGGTTTAGGGCTTAGGGAATCACTTAGAATAGCTCGGGTTTAACAGCGAAATCCCTGCCTTTCCTGCCCCCTTCGAGCTCCCAGAGAGCCAAATACCCCTTGATTAAGGAATATGGCCTATATCATAAAATGAAGCCCCTGACAATTTTCAAGCCACATTCCTTGATGAAGGGGTATTGGACTCTCTGGGCGAGTGTTCCAAGATAGCGCTGACCCCTCGGTTCTCAGCGTACGGGACCGCTTTTTTGCTGGGCACCTTCGGATTGCAGGCTCGGTGCCGTGCAGAAACCCGAGATGCCGAGATTCAAGAAGAAAGCCAAGTATACCCGTAACGCCCAGATCCCCTAATGTAGAGGCCTTAGAAATAAGAACTAATTATAATAAGGGGGTATATTCTACTATTATTTTAATAAGGAACCCCAACATACTATTGGTAATCATTTCGGGCCCTTATATTTCTTCAACCCCAGCCGCAACCCTCCAAACTCCCTCGCAAGGCAGCTCCGTTCCATGCAGCGTCTTCAGGAAGTGGGAGTTAGGATTAGGGGGACCCTTGGGGCTATAGACCAATAAGGTCCCTCTGAAGAGAGCCAGAAGTAGGGTTAAGAAGGGTCCCCTTTAAGGGGTCTCCCTAATACTACCTAGGAGGAAAAACAACCACGAACACTCGGACCCTGGCGCTAGATGCACGGAAGCCCTCACCAGGCTCAAAAGGCCCTATACACTAACCTACTTGGGGGACTTGCAAAGTAAATCATACGTAGGGCCGTAAGTATGATAACCCAATTAGGGTATGCATAACTCGACTTAGAATCTCACAGCCTACTTGCCAAACCGCCTGGTCCTCTAAGTACTGCTTTGAGTACCTCATATCTGGGGGTAACAGTCTACAATAGGGCTACTATGAAGGGGCTAATATATCCATAGTATTAGGATGTTGTTCTAAATTACAGGAGCCATGCCCAGGCATTAGGACAGTGCTTGCGCCCGCCCTTGCGCCGTCTTGCGCGCGCAGGGGTTTTCACTCATGACAACATAATCCAATACAAAGCCAAAAAAAGAACGCAATACATATGTTATTATGTTATGTATCTTGCGCCCGCCCTTGCGCGAGCTTGCGCGCGCGAGGTTTTTTAACCACCATGCAAAACCCTGATGCCGGCCCTGCTCTTACCACAAGAGGCGGGGGTTTAGAACGGCATCCGTAAATATTATCCAACTGTTACTGAGTGCGGGCAGTGCCCAACTCATTTCTCGTCAACAAGAACGTCATCAACCGCTCGGCTCCGAACCGTCTCAGCTGCAGAACCACTCCACGAACTCGAAGAACTCGACCTGCTCGGCTTGAGGCCGGAGAGGGGCTCTAAAGACTGCTAGCACTACTAGTCCTGCTCTAGTACGACGGTTGATGATATAAATCCTGCATTGCCCATAATAGGGAATATACCAGAATTCCTATAGTTTAGGGTCCTTAAGTTACAGGGCCTTGGCGTTTAGGGCGCGGGCCTCGCATCTTAGCCTTACTGGGGCTTGGGGGCCAAACGCTAAACCCTAAACCCTAGGTCCTCAATCCTAAACCGTCGTCTTGGGCTCATGGTTGCAGTTTTCTTCGGGGTTTTTAGGGTAGGTTGGGGCATAGCTATGTTCGGGCTGGGAGCCTATAAACCTAACTTATCTAGAATAAGGCTTTGGGTGTATTATACTATACTTGTAATAAGGAACTCCTTTCTTATTTAGAATAAGCTTTTGGGGTATATTATACCATACTTATAAGAAGGACCCCCCAAAATAGTATTGGTAATCATTTCGGCCCCTATAATGGGGCTTAGTGGGATATGACTCCTGAGTCATAGCTTCGGGTTCAGGCGCACGAGCTTGCATCTCGAAAAGAAGCCACGAAGTTGTCCACAGTAATTCTAACCGATAATGTCCGCAGCCTCTTCGTACATTCTGCCCCGGCTTTGCTGTTTCGTGCAAGAGGATGCCAAAGAGACACCGACGGTCGATGTTGCTGACGGAAGGGATGCGCACCGATTTGGCGCGGGATGGTGGCAAGGCTTCGAGATTAGCGGAGAAACCCTAAACCCTAAACCCCTAAGCCCTAAACCCTAAACCCAAAAGAGTTCTCCTAGCTTTTCTGGAATGTGGTTGTTTGATCTTTCATGCGACCTCGGATGTTCGATGACGACAGGCCTCTGAAGCCTGAGAAGCAACTTAACCAGACGCCCAAGATGACCCTGACCCCTCAACAACAATCTCCGCCACAAATCCTGATGCCTAAACCGCTAAACCCTAAACCCCAAACCCTGAACCCTGAACCCTGAACCCCTAAACCCCTAAACCTCTAAACCCTAACCCCTGAACCTTAAACCCCTAAACCCAACCCTGAACCCTAAATCCTTCGACATGTTAGGCTCCCGCCTCACCGCTTTTGTCGGTGTCCAGCTCGCGCACCGCCTCCTCCTGTCGGGATCACCGATTGATGCTTGATGCTTAGTGCTTGGGTTTAGGGTTTAATGTTTGGGTTTAGGGTTTAGGGGTTTAATGTTTTGGGTTTAGCTAGCTAGAAGTCCTTGCCAGGCTCTTATAAATTCGGTACACTCGTGTTGCGGCGCCCAAAACGCCCGTGCAACGATCTACCGGACTCTTCCCGAACGGGGGCATGTGCGGGTCAACTAGTGGCCTCGAAGCAGCTATGTCATCCGTGCTTTAATATTGGGAGCTTTGCCCATGCAGTTTTCCAAGAGGAGAGAAAATTTTATAAGCTGCAAAAAGCCCCTGAGGCAGAGCGTCACTAGTGGCCTGGGCAGGCTCAGAAGCTTAACACCCAATGTAGGAGCCTTAAGGCCTTAAGAGTTAGAATCGAGTTTGGTGTTATGTTCTACTATAATGCTAAGCAGGAACGCCCAAACTAGTACTGGCAATTTTTGTGCCACTATGTTAACTGTCCGTGACAGGTGCTTCGGAAGCCGCATCTTCAAAACAAGAATCCTGGACAGAGCACATCGCCGGTTGCTATACCTCTCGCTATCAGTGAAGAGACCCACTTTAGATGACGCAGGGCATGATCCTCCAATCAGTGGCTATCTGGGAAGGTGGGACCTAACAATTTTAGCATGAGATGTTGGGTATACTATGCAGCTATCATAACGAACCCCAAGGAACAGTATTACTTGGAGGTTCATGGGTAGTTATAAATGGGGTTTGTAGGCAGGGTAACTATAACTATAACCCATATTAGGGGACTCATAACCATACTTATAACTACCCATGAACCTCCAAGTACTAGCTCTTCAGGCCTCTCGGTTATGGGGCTACCCTAAACCCTAAACCCTAAACCCTAAACCCTAAACCCTAAACCCTAAACCCTAAACCCTAAACCGTGTGGCAGCAAACTGTTGGAGTGCTCTGCGCGGCTGGGGCCCCTCGCGAGCTGACGTTCCGTGATCTCCTGGCTGCATGAAGCACGGAGTTTCTCTATTTCTCTAAAGGGTTTAGGGTTTGGTTTAGGGTTTAGGGTCTCTAAAGGGTTTAGGGTTTGGTTTAGGGTTTAGGGTCTAGGGTGGGTTCCAACTTAAGGGTGCCATACGGAATTCTATAAGGAATCTTTGATGGCTTCTACTATGAACTGGTTCCCTGTTGCGGCTATATTGAACATGATCATTATTAATCCTTATTGGGTTTTCTTATAACCAGATTGTAAAATTGTATCCAACAAGGACCCAGTGAAGGGTTAGAGATTAGAGTTTAGGGTTTGCGGTCTAGGCTTTGGTTCCGGGTTTAAGGCTCACCTTCTGCCGCTTCGGCTACGGTTCATGATATAAATCCTGCACGTCCCATAATAAAGAATATACCATAATTCGCATAGTTTAGGGTCCTTAAGGTAATGCAGGATTGATATCATCAACGGTATGGCTTGCCCAAGCCTGGTACCTTAGAATCACTAGCCT